TTTCTGATAGAATTGTGGATTCGCCGTGCTGTTTGGTGACGGGAGAGTATGGGTGGACAGCCAATATGGAGAGGATCGTGAAGGCTCAGGCTTTGAGGGACAGCAGTATGAGTTCTTACATGTCTAGCAAGAAAACCATGGAGATCAATCCAGACAATCCAATCATAGACGAACTGAGGAAGAGGGCTGAGGCCGACCCGAACAACAAGTCGGTGAAGGATTTGGTGCTGCTGCTCTATGAGACTGCTCTTCTGACCTCAGGGTTCAGTCTTGATGACCCCAACACATTTTCATCTAGGATCCATAGGATGCTGAAGTTGGGGTTGAGCATTGATGAAGATGAGACTGCAGGTGGTGATGATGCTGAAATGCCGCAATTAGAGGAGGAGGGGAATGAGGAGAGCAAGATGGAGGAAGCGGACTGAGTGAAGATGTTTGCCATCGGAGAATGAGCAACATGAAGCTGCTGTGAAGTGAAAAACAATCGTGATTTTTCTTTCTTTTTTTTTCCTATAAATTAATATCATGTTTTGTTGTTGTCATTTTTTTTTTTTTTTTTTTTTTGGGTTTGTCTTGCACTTTCAGTTGTGTAAAGAACCGAAGGAGACTTTAGTGTTCTGAATTTGCGCCATCTCACACAATTTTGAAAGAAGGCATTCTTATATGCTCTCATTCAAAATATGTAGTTGATGACATGAGTCTTGAGTTCCCAAGTTTTTTACTTGGGTGTTGGATACATAACTACATGTCCAGAATTTGTTAAAAAAAAATTGATTGGATTAAAACTTGGTGTCATAAAAAAGGTTTTGGAGGAATTAGGATTCAATGGTTTGATTGCAATTTTTTAGTTGTTAGTGGTCTTTAAAATCAGAATTGATAATTTTCCTCAAGAAAAAAACGAGCGCTGTGCTTTTTAATTCCAGTCATATATAAATTTCTTGTCACACATTTAGTCATCGGGCGGGAGTGCAAAAAATGGAACTTGAGCAGTTTTATAGTTTTTTTATATCTGCCTTCATGTTCTAAAAACTTGGTTTTCATTACCAATTGTTGTTTTGATTTAGATCACCAGAAGTATTTTTGTATATATCGATCTAATAAAAGAGTCAGAAAACTATTGGAGATTCTGTTCACCACAAACTTCTGATGTTGGTTGCAAACTTGCAACAGTAATTTGGATTTGAAAGGGCCCATCTTTTCATGACTATTGACGCTTATAGTTGGCTTGGTCATGTCCATTTTTTTTATCTTCATCTTTGTCAAGAAGTGATCGATCAGTGTATGTGCGTGAGAAAGAGAGAATTTTGGTTAAGAATTTGTACAGGACATGAAGAGTTCCAATATAGTAGACTCTCCGTACTGATTTGTTACTTGCAGACTCTCCGGCTCATGCATGGAGGAAGCTTTGCACCGAGATTGAAACATATCAAACCCCACATTAAAACTTACGAAAAACAGATTCAACAAGATTCTTGTATTTTAATTGGATCAATGCTTATGTCCAACTCAGTTACGTGAAATTGTTGGGTGAACTTTATCCAACCTAACGTGATCTAATAAAGTTGGGACAAGTATTTAAAAAATAATATAAAATTAAGTTGTTCATCATCTATTTTTGGGTATAACCTATTTATGTGAGATTTTTTTTTTTTTTTGGGTTAATTTTATTGAAAGTTTGGTCATATATTACCTTGAAACAATTTTTGAAAATTATACAAACGTTGTTTCGTTTTCCACTCACACTCCAACTGTAACTTTGTTAAAAAAACCTTTAGCCTACAGAAATATATTAAAAAACAAAATTTATCTCCAAATGTTTTGCAAATTTACAATTATATATATTTATATATGAGACACTATATAATACTCATATATATATGGCAAAAGTGCAAAATACTTCAGTGAATCACCCGGAATCTTCCCCTATTAGTCAGTCCAGAGATCACAAGATAGTCCAATGTAATTGAATATAAAATATATTTATAAATAATTTTTTTTTTAAATATATATGTTAAGAAATTGTATATTTAATTTTTTAAATATATATATAGTATTCAAATTCATGTCTTTTAAATGCATTAGGGTAAATTAAATATGGTAATAAATATTCCCTCCGGAAAACGTGACATTATTTTTGAGACGGATGTAGTATGTATATTTATTTTTAAAATATATTTAATTTCAATGTTAAGGAAGAGAAAAGTTTTAAATATCAAAAAAAAAAAAATAGTTGAGAGTGTTTTCTGCACCGCAGACCCTGAGTTCCATGGTTTATGGCAACCAAGGATTCCGGTGAGATTCGAATTCCGCCACCACCATCATCAAAGTGGACATCTTTCCTTCATGGCTTTCTTTTTGCTTTATCTAATCTATATCTTTCTCTGGTCAAAAGAGACGCACTCTTGATTTCATCATCATCTTGATACATCATGAACATGAAATCTTCTCTCTAATACCAAAGTTCACTTCATGTTGAAGCTTAAAAAGGGTGAAATCATTAAACCCAAATCGGAAGAGATAATAATAATATATAATTTAAAAAAGAAAAAAAGAAACAAAAAAAAGCAGAGGTAATTAAAAGTGAGAGCAGATAACTACCCAGCACTACTCAAAATGAACAGAACCTACTAAATTCAACGAATTGTGATGCCCACAAGAAGATTATTTCAGATCCATACCCACTGTATAGAGAGGAGAGAGAAAAGCTAATGAGGGCAATATTGTCTTTTAAATTTGCCCATACATTGGATTAAAAAAAACAAGGGTAAATTTGTCACTTTGTATATTTTTAACGGTAAAAGTGACGAAAATGTAATTTGTGGTCTAACTAATATTTAGAGTAAAGTGCAAAAAACCCCCTGATCTTTCTCTCTCTCCCAACAACCCCCCCTAGACTTTCATTTTTACAATAAACGCCATGAACTATCCTAATTTTTGCAAAAAACACCAGGCAACACTGTTCCGTCATCTGATTATTACGTGGCCTAGATTATAATTTCTAAATGACAATATTACCCTTGTTATTGTTAGGTTAATAAATGATTTAAGGCCCCAAATTGAAACTCCCCATTGTTAACCCTTCACGCCATCTCATCTCTAAGGTCTCACAATTCTCATTCTCTGCAACCCACCCAAAACTGAGCAACTCCATTTGTAGTTGAGGAAGATGATATTGATGTCGGCGACCATAAAGCATGAGTATACAGTTCACGTGATCAAATTCCCATCTCTAAGGTCCACTGCCGTCTCTAAGGTCGGTGTTGAGGAAGATGACATTATTGTCGACGACCGTATCAAAGGTCCACCGCGGTCTCCTCTGCCATACCCACGTTTACTCCCGCTTGGCTCGTTTCCAAACTTTATTCGATGACCTCCTGAAAGACCACACGCGATCGATTCATACTTTGATGCTTTGGAAGCTGCCACCAAACTGCTTTTCCAGATGCACACCTCCGATTGTCTCAGTTCTGAACTTCTGATGCGAGGGCTGGTCACGTGCATCATAGAGGATGGAATTTCGATTTCTCTCTTGATGCTGCCATAAAAGTCGAGTTCCCTTGATTTATTTCTATACAATCAATTTTTTGCAAAGGTTTATCTCTGTATTCCCAAACTCATCCATGGAGTAACCTTTGGACAAGGAGAATGAATGAGAAACATGTTGACTATGAGTCTTGTGGGCTTTGCGAGTTGTATAGTAGGGATAAGGATTGATGTGCTGTCCATTTGCTATTGGGTACAGAGGCACTAGGGTAAATTGGTAATCCTCTATTTTCCAGTAACCTCCACTAACCGTTTTGTCCTTAAATGCACATTTTTGATAGTTTAGGGAGACAGTTCTTAGTATAGGGGGGTTTTGTGAAATTTGTTAATAGTTTAAGAGGGTTTGTTGCATTTTATCCTAATATTTATTTTCAAAAAATATCTCTATGATATTTGTCCAAACCTCGTCGAGGTGCCATTGAAAGTAATCCTTCACCACTCCTTTTCTTTATTCACTTTCTTCTATAACCCTCTGCCTCTCTAACTACCCACCACCTACTTCCTCTAATTATCTCTAAACCAAGAGAATCAATAATGCTACAACCCAAAATTAGTCAATAATCACAACCCCACCACCTTCGACCACCATTTACTGGGAAATTTCTCTCTGGTGAGAGTTCCGAATCGGGTGAGGCGGAGGAAGTTCCGGCGATAGCGACGGCCGTGATGATGGGCGAGGTGATCCAACAGTGGCCGCCACCACTCTTCTCGTCTCTTCTAATTTGCCACCGCCCTCTTCTTTCTCCTCCCGTCACCGATGAATTATGGCCGACAGCGTTAGAGAGAATGGAAGATTTGCAGCAAGTGGATTGGATAGAAGCAATTTGTGAAAGTGTTATGCTATTGTTGAGCTCTTTGCAACAACACATGGTAATTGGTGATGGTTGTGTTTGGTGGGTGAGCAGTGGTGGGTATGTTCGAGACTCATTTGGTCTCACCGCTGCTGTGATCCAAACTTGACGCCGCTGTGCGTAACACCGGTGAAACGCCCCTTCAAAGATAGTTATACTTGAAAATTAATGGTCAATAACTAACTTAATTTTATATTAATTTTAAACACGTGTCACAATTTAATTGGACCACATTATCAGATTGGAAGAACTTCATCGAATTTGATTTGAATCTAAGTATTGTCCTCAAAATGTCTTCCATCTATGTGTAATTTTCTTAAAGTATTAACAAATCACATGAGGTCTGAATTAATTTAACCCATTTTGTTTGGTGCATTTGGGTTCTTCGCTATCGTATAGATTGTGCCAAGAATTTCTTCATTCACTGCGTCAATGTCACCATCAACATTTTGTTTTGTGTTGGATAGATTGTCCCAAGAATTTCTTCACCCCTTCAATCGTCAAATGTTAGTTCAATATTTCATCATCCCCTGCGTCAATTATCATTATAGTCAAATGTCAGTTCAATATTTCATCATCCCCTGCGTCAATTATCATTATAGTCAAATGTCAGTTCAATATTTCATCATCCCCTGCGTCAATTATCATTATAGTCAAATGTCAGTTCAGTATTTCATCATCCCCTGCGTCAATGTCATTATCAAATGTGTCCATATGATTAGACCACTGAGGAGAAAAAGTGACAAATTTTAAATCTAGTGAAAATAAGAATCAAAATATATACAAAACGTGAGAATAAAACACGCACGTGAGAGTGACACATATTACTATTTATTACTCTTTGATCTCAGATTCACCATCATCATCTTTTCTAGGGAGAGAAATGGCGGATCGGTTCCATAACCAGGCTAAACAGTATTCGGAAACTCGTCCCAGTTATCCCGACGAGCTTTTCCAATTCATTGGATCCAAAACACCCAATCACCACCTCGCTTGGGATGTGGGAACTGGCAACGGCCAAGCTGCAACATCTGTAAGTTTCCCTCTCTTCATGTAGGATCCAACTATGAATTAATGGATAAAACATCATTCTTGACTTGTTCAATGCTCAAACATGTCTAGTTTGAAACATCTATTCTTCTGTATTAATTAATACAAGTCAGTTTCAGTTAGCTAGGATGTACAAGAATGTGGTTGCTACAGACACCAGCCAGAAGCAATTGGACTTTGCACCCAAGCTGCCCAACGTGCGATGGATATGTACAGCGCCCAACATGTCCATGGCCGAGCTCCAGCGAGATGTTGCAGCAGAAGCAAGCGTTGACCTAATTACCATTGCTCAAGCCCTCCATTGGTTTGACCTCCCAACCTTCTACCAGCAAGCGAGGTGGGTACTCAAGAAACCCCATGGGGTCATCGCTGCATGGTGCTACACTGCGACTGACGGCGACGATTCGGCTTGCAATTCGAGCTCGGCATTTGATTCGGTCTTCCAACGCTTTTACTCTGATTCCGGTCCTTACTGGGACCCTGCTCGCAAGTTAGTGGATGACAAGTACAGAAGCATTGATTTCCCCTTCGAACCAATCGATGGAGCCAATCACACCGGGCCATTCGAGTTCAAAACAGAGAGATTGATGGATTTGGATGGGTATTTTAGATTCATAAGATCGTGGTCAGCCTATCAAATAGCACAAGAGAAGGGTGTTGAACTATTGAGAGATGATGTGATGGAGGATTTTAAGCGTGCCTGGACTGAAGATGGCAATAACAATCAAAAGCTAGTTAAGTCTTCAGTTTATCTAAGGATAGGAAAAGTAGGAAATTGGAAATAAAGCATGTATCAAGTTATTCTTCAAGTATTATAAGGGTCCAAGTTATGTACCTGTCTTTATTGTATCCTAATAATGAATCGTGATGAGATGTAGCTGAAAAAATCAACTACCTAACCACGGCATTGCTATTTTTAGTCTCATTTCACCTACAGGGAATAATTTTTTGTTCTTCTTTTTGGGGGTCTTAATAACTCTCACTCATGGTGTCTATGGAAACTTGAACCCACCTAAACATTTCTCACCACTAAATAACACAAGGTAATAAATCTAGTTTCATGAACCAAACATGATCAAATTGATCTAATCCTTTTCTTTCATCAGATAACAAGTTGCACAATTTAACTCAAACCCAACTGACCCAACTAGTCACAATTCACCATCAATTTCACTAATTTTCCAATTGATCTTTATTTTTGGAACTGTCAAACGTGTTTTTTTATGACACTAGTGGTTCTTTTCAATTAATAGAGTGCTCTAGAAGAATTTATACTAGCTCAAGCCAAATCAGAAACACCATGAACTATACTCGAGTATTGATTCAAATAAAATGAGAAACCATATTTCCATGAGAAGTCTGAAGATCCCGGTGCTGAATGTTATCAAAAAATAAAATTACCCTGCGACTGTTGTTTTATATCATTTGAATAGTTGGTTTACAAAGAAAATAAAAGCCAAAAGGCACTATCACCAGGAGAAATAAATTAAAAAAGAAAAAGGAAAAGAATTCATCACTCAATAGGATCTGAAAAGAAAGGGAAGTATATGGAAAGTGATAATTAAACAATTACTTTCAAACAAAGGGAAATGGGATCTCACTGTTGTGGCAAGAGCTGACTACCATACATCTTCAAGCTACTTCTCAGCAGCAGCATTCTGCCTCTTGTTATATCAAGGATTATATCAATAAAGACAATAAATAAATACAAGATGCAAGTGTTAGAACTTACATGATTTCTTAATCCTAAAGATTCGGGGGATGACGAATTCTGCGAGCTCCCTATAACCAGATACCACAGCAACAATTTCAAAGAGAACAACACAACTACCATCATGTCATGATGACTTCACTTCAGTCCCGGTAAAATAATGACTACTAAACCATATACTCTGCTTCACCTATATGAGCAATCATAGAAACAATCAACTCGAAAGGATACAATTTGAAAATCTACTAGTAAGTATATAACTGAAAATTAAAACAAAGTCATTCAAACATAGATCAAAGTAAAAACAGTTGAAGAGATTTACACGAAGAATCACAAGGATGAAAGTGGAATAGCATACCTTCAGCCAAATTTATTGAGACATAGCATGTTCTTTACTACTTCAATAATAACATTCTTCATCCACTAACAAGGCCACTATTTTTCAAAACCCAATTCATATTACATTCAATTAGACATATTAATCAACCCAGCAAACTAACAAGAACCAATAACATAAACAAACCATCACTGCATATATATGTATGTAAATCAATATAATTCACATTCAATCGATGAAACATAATCAACCCAGCAAATTAACAAAAACCAATAACATAAACACCCCGTCAATGTATATATATGTATCAAAATTTACCTGGCGCGATCGCCGGGTGGGCCACCCATCCGAGCACCGAGGGGCTTGAGGGATTTCTTCAAAGTAGCAGGGACGATTTCAGAGGGCAAATTGAGGTAGGTTCGAAGGAACTCAATGCCGTCATTGGTGAGGTGCAGTAGTAGTGCATCAAAGCGAAGGTCTCTCGCACGTATTCCTTGGATTTGAAGCCCTGCATCAGCTTTATCACCTGAAGATTCCGCACATCGATTTGGGGATGTTTCACCAAATTGTAATCTTTTTTGGCATAGCAAACTCCCTCTGTAACTTTTACGGAAATTTGTGAGAAGGAGATTTAAACACCGAATCAAATAACCTGAACAATAAATAAATGTAAACACTAAACATATAAGCGCATGTGTGTGTATATGCATAGAGAGAAAGTGGGTGTGAGAGAAAGAGAGACTTTGGAAGAGGTACTTGGATATCTCTCGGCGGTTCTTCTCTGGAATCATCTGAAGAGAAAATGACGAATCATATCAAATTGATCAACGCAAAAAGCTTATCTGGAGAAGAAAATGTAGATATGTAAATACACACACATCTAGATATGTAGAAACAGCGAGAGATTTCAGAGTTACCATGGTTGCGGAGAGAGAAGCTTCGGAAAACACTCTTCTTGCTTATTGCCCATAAAACCCTAAAACCATAGCCTGCTTGGCTGCTTTAGCGCCCTATGAGTATGTGCCATCTAGAATTGGGCTTGAGCTTGGTCTTGGGCCTTAAGAACCCATGGACTTTTTGTTTAAAAACCGGGCTACAAATCATTAATAATCTACTCTAATAGTTTTGATTTACATAACAAAAATAAGAATAATGATATTTGCACCGAATTGTTACAAAATTAGAAAAGTATCAATATCTCTCAGGTCGTAATAATCCTCACTACAAGACATAAATTATCATGAAAATAGACTTTTTATTACGGTGCGGAACCGTGGTTGAAAATAGACTTTCTACCACGGTTTTGCATCGTAGACTTTCTACCACGGTTTTGTACCGTGGTAGAAAGTCTCTACGAATGTTTCTGATTAATTATTTATGCATAGTACGTGTAAGTAGAGGATTCTACTTCTTTATTTATGTATAAATAAACAATTAAAATAGATAGGTTTGACAATTAATTACAACAAATCGCATAAGTAAAGAAATATGACCTTCCACTTACATGTATTATGCATAAATAACCAATCAGAAACATTTGGTGCAACAATTTGGTGCAATTATCATTACTCCAAATATAAGTAGTCCCAGCTTCAAGACTATTTTCTAGAGTGGATAATAATGTTATTATTATATGATCATATTTAATGTTGCCATCTTTCACTCTCAATTGTTCTAATTCTATTTGTCTAATGTGTCCGGATTTTGTATTACAACTCTTTATATAATTAAAATTTATAATCAAGCTCAATATATAGAACATTTATCCCAACTTGAAAAACCTAATAATAGTTGACGGTAAAGTTGTAAAAATTTAGGATTATCTCAGAATCTGATTAAGAAATTAAGTTATGATTTAATCAGACTTTGAATTCTATAAACGCAAAATTTTACAAACACCCCATTTCTTACAACCATTACATCAGTTAAGCCCTAATATTTGAATTTGAATCCTCTATAATTAGATTTGTGATTAGGTACGTTTTGGTTCTTTACCTGTCACGCTCAATGATTCAATTAAGTTTTGTTAATTAGACTTAATGTCACCCGAAAATGATTGTTTGGACAAAGATTTACTCATGGAGCTAGAGGGTTGTTACCGACAGTTGTATACTGATACCATATTACACTCGTAAGATAGTAATTTATACGTTTTTACATGTTGTCCAGACAATTCAAGAACTGACATGTGACAGTCACATACGTATCAATTGTTACCATCATTAATCTTAAGATCAACATCAACCAAGTTTTTGTAAAGTAACCACAAGTCCCTAAATTAATTACCAACTCTTGGATTAATTAGAGGGGAAAAATCACATAACCCCCCTGTGCTAATTTTTTCGTTCAAAATGCCCCCACTAAAATTAAACACCCACCTGAACTAACAAAACCCATCAAGTTACCGCGAAATGACAAAATTGCTTTTCTAAGTTAATTGTAAATTTAAAACTTATAAATCTAATTTCTATTTTTTTGGTTAAATTTCAAAATTGTGCAGATGTATCTTCCCTTACAGATCAAAGTCCCAGACTTTGATCATACTAAACTTCAACTCTACGGCGCCGATTGGGGCGCCATCGTCCTCTCCGTCGACACCGACTACGATGAGTTGCAATAGAAGCTCGAGGAAGAACCAAAGTATTGTTGTGAACACTTCCTTCTACAGCGGTGTTGCCACAATCACCAACCAAGTCAAGTAAAAATTTTGATTTGGACCTCCTTGTGTGACTTCGGCAACATTTTCCCTCTGTTTGCTCCTCTTGTAAGTAGCTAGAAACACCCCAAATTGATCGGACTCTGTCTTCGCCTGAATATTCGCCGCCGAAGGACACTCTGACTCACCGATTTCAAATAAAATTCTGGCAATTCTTATCGCTGGTGTTTCTAAAATGGGTTCATCGATAAAGGACGATGTTATATTGGTCCAGAAAAGAAAGAAACAAGGTAAGCCACACGGCGATCATCGAATCATTGGAAACCTGAACGCTGTCGCGAACATCGCTGACACTTCACTGAAGAATCGACCTCGAGAGCCACTAATTCGACGCTTGCAAAGTCGCCAACTCGGAATTCATGTGCACCAGCGGACTCGAAGATGAGTCTCTGTATATCCTTGTGGTCTCTTCCGACACCGTCCGGCAAAGATTGACCGAGGGAGAGTCGTTAAGCCATCTGGTCCCCGGCCGAGTCGTGATGGCCGCTGCGATCGTCGCAACAGTTGAGAGTGAACGGCGAGATCTAGTCGATCAGAATTACGTCGTCGTCGACAATAGCAACGGATGTTTGGTCGGCGAGAGAGCTGGATATGGCTCTAATCGCCGATGAAGTCGAGGAATAGTGCCCGATTGACGAGAATTCGATGCGGATGAGTTTAAGTGTGTCGAAGGAGAATTCTTCCCATACATATGCAAGAATGTAAATTCACACACCAAGTCCAGTTTATATATATGTGTTTGTAGAATCTCTCTAATTTTCTGCGAATAAAACTACCTACAATGCTATATTTTCACACAAATTTCCCTCGTGTTCAATTTTTCTTTTCAACCAAACAAGTCAACACAAACAGATCAAACAACAATTATAATCAGAATGCTCTAAATCTAAATCAAAGGAAGATGGAGATGAATATGGGTTTCTGGTGCTTAAAATCAAGGGAAGATGGAAATGAACAGTAGACCCACCAACTCAAGGGTATTTTTGCAATCTTACAATAATATTATAAGTTTTAAATTTACAATTAACTTAGAAGGGCAGTTTTGTCATTTCGGGGTAACTTGATGGGTTTTGTTAGCTCAGGGGGGTGTTTAATTTTAGTGGGGGCATTTTGAACAAAAAAATTAGTACAGGGGGGTTATGTATAATATACTCTTAATTAGATCAAGCCATGCAATCAAAAAGCAACCATCCTTATTGTCCAAGATAGACAAAAACTGAGGCAATAGGGACATGCTTGGTTCATAACGTTAAAAACAGTTTTAAAAAATTTTAAAAACATAAAACAATTTTTAGAGAGTTATAAAAAACTGTTCTCTAAAAACATGTCTTTTTATAATTAAGTTTTCACAAAAACAGTTTTAAGAAAACTCAACCAAACAAAGTTTTTTGTTTAGTTTTCTGTTTTCAATTTTTCGAGAACAGAAAATTATTTCCATAATTACAAACCAAACAAATTCTAAATACTCTGTATTTTTTTAAGATGGATAAAAAATATATATATATAATCCACAAAGCTTCCTCTAATGAGTCATGTAGTGAGACAAAGTTTTTAACTTTCATATTAAGGTTGCAACATTGTGCACATAATTGCAATTGTACATTTGATACGTTTTGTATCTTTTCGATTAATCGCGACTCTATATATAAATAAATATAGTCGGCCCGACCAGTTATGATTTTATTCTTATCAGGATAGGACACATGTCATTATCCTATTAATCCAAGAAGCCTATAAATAAAGGCTCGGAAGAAGGAGGAAGGGGTCGGGTCCAGAAATTGAGAGACCCAAAAATCCAGAAGAACAAAATTTGAGAATTCTAGAAATCTAGAATTCCAGAGAGAAATACATTCATCCCCCATCACCCAAACCTGAAGGTGAAGAGTAATAAGCACATCAAATCGTGTTGTTCTTCATCAAAATTCCATGGTGAGCAACAACAAGCACATTCAAAGCCGTGCCGTTCTTCATCAAATTCAACAAATTCTCTCTGAAGACGAAGAATAACAAGCACATCCAAAATCGTGCCATTCTTCAACAAATTCAACAAATCTCTCCTCTCTGAAGACGAAGAACAACAAGCACATCCAAAGACGTACCGTTCTTCCTCAAATTCAACAAAAGACAACAAGTACATCAAAATCGTGCCGTTATTTCTCCGTGATTCAACAAGTTTGACGAATCACCACATAACACTGTCCAAGATCAAGTTTCATCAGCCCTCAATCAAAAATCATCAGCGATCTTCTTCAAACTATAAATACTTAAAGAAGATTGTCAACAATCCGATTCAAGATTAAGCTCCAAAAGTCCTTGAATCCAACCAACAAATAAGATCGAATTAGATGATATTTTCTTTCTTTTGTAAAAAATATCTTAAACGATTGTACTCAAATTATTATAAATTAATAAAAATTTTCTTTACTCCCTGTTTTGTTCTTTATTTGTAGACTACAAAATTTATATATACATGGAGTACATAATATAGTCCTGAATTACATATCATTGATTCATCTCATGTCATGAGGTGCAGATTCATTCAGAATCTGAAGACTGTTTCGTACAATTTAAGTCAAATATTGTCTTTACTCAGTCTCTTTGAGCTAATATCAAACAAAACCAATTTTTACTTTAAAAGAAGAAAAAAAATGCGAAACCGATTCTATTATTCAACATCATAGCAAACACAGTGAAGGAGCAAAATTAAGAGCTTCTCATCACCATTATCAACCTTTGCTGATTCTTTTATTCTTTTCAATTCCCTTGTGTTTCCACAGACCAACAGACATTGCATGCACTCTCATACTGCATTTCCTCTCATTTCATTACCTCATGTACATTGAAAATCATACCAAAACAAAAAGGAAATCAAAGAAAATTAAACAAATTGTTTTCTCAATAACCAAAGTGTTTACCAAATTAATTATAAAAATCATTAATAATTCATAAGGATGAAGGATAAGAAGATAGGATAGCTCCAATATTGTTTGATGAAGTTGGTGCAATCTCTTCCTCACTTAGAGTAGGTCCTTCACCTTGGTCCCAAAACAGAAAACTAGGGCACTGTTGGGATTCAACCCAATATTCATTCAATTCCTGCTGTCTCTGTAAGCACTCCAAAGCCATCTCTCCTTCCTCATTCATACCACATGAAGACTGCACATGACTTTGCATTTCGATGGGCACCATATTTTCTATGTTGTCTATCAATGGTGGCAAATAATTACTACTGTCCATACCAGTTGTATAAGTTGTTGAAATGGGAAGAGATTGAACTTCTTGTTGGTTTAGATGCCAAGTACTTTCACAGTTCAATCCTGCCTGTTCATGAAAAAGTCCGGTTCTTCCATTATCGTCCCCATTAATCCCTTCAAGTACTGCACCAGTTTCAAACATGAATAAAGGGTAATTAGGAGAAGAAATCAATAGGGTTTCTTGAACTGGCATTGGCTTTGTTGCCAAATCTTGATTCAGAAAATCTTGTTGGCTCGCGACGACATAACCAGATGGGGAATGTTGATGATCATTATTTGTACAAGGAAGTGCAGTAGTAGTACTAGTAATGGTTGTCATTGAAGGTGCTGATGAAGACTTATGTATCTTCTTTTTGATCCATGAATTCCAATAGTTCTTTATTTCATTGTCTGTTCTCCCAGGAAGGTGGCTTGCTATGTGAGCCCATCTACAATTAAACCTCATGCATGTTAGAGCTATCTTAAAATATATAGTAATTTTAAATAAATAAACATATATATAATATATATACTCAAATTGATCAGGTACAGCTACTAGCAGTTTTATAAGCAATTACAGAACAAGTGGTTTGGATTTCATAAAGTACGTGTATATAATGAAAGAAGGTAAAGGGTGTGGCATATATATATATACTTCCTATACACGTAGTTTTAAATTAATCTCTCAATTTAAATGCAGGTGATACATGTATGTTTTATGTATACGGGCTACTTAATTTGATAGTGGAATTGCTTCTTGACACTAACTAAAATATATGCACATATATAGCATCTTCAATTAAACACTTACAATAACTTGATAATGAAGTTTTTAGGAAGCTTAATGAAAGACAATAGTGCTTGAAATTACTTAATTTCAAGACAATCCTCCTCAACCCTAGAACCCCCATTAGAGTTGTTGTTTCAAGTATTACAACACTACACATTACCCAAGACTTACATACGATCAAATTCCATGAATTAATATCCATATATATATATATATGTATATATATATCCTCAAATATTAAAGGAAATGATCAACTTGATTTTAAGCCACTACCCAAAACTAGTTAAATGAATGAATTAACCTGTTGCCTACAGCTCCATGAAGGCTGATAATCAACTTCTCTTCTTCAGGAGTAAACCTCCCTCTTCTAATATCAGGTCTCAAGTAGTTGATCCATCTCAAGCGACAACTCTTACCACATCTTTGAAGCCCTAAAAAAAAACCCAAAAAGAGAATTAACATTTTATAACTTGTATATATATGTGCATATATAGAAATATATATATATATATATATATATATAGAGAGAGAGAGAGAGAGAGAGGAGAGACCAGCTTTCTCAGGGACTTCACTCCAGCAACCATAGCCATGAGTGGTGATGTATCTGATGAGCTTTTCATCTTCTTCAGGTGACCAAAGGCCTCTCTTAACCTTCTGCTGATTGCAGCAAGAATGGTGACCCATAGAGCTCTTTAGTTAATTGGTTCTTGATCTTTGTAGCTAGCTCTCTTATGGTTGCAATTCTGATTGTGTATATATATGTATATATATGGAATTGAATATTGGTTGAGCAATCTCGCAAGATCACTGGTCTTTCTCTCCATGCTTTAGATGTGTTTTTGCAAGTACATGGAGCCGACATAAAGGGGCCCACATTTCCATCTAACCGTAAAATGACATCTCATCAATCGACTTATAATTTTCTACGTAGACTTGTACATGTAACCAACTTTACGTACCCAAACACCATCTCTGCCGGTTGTTACATAGACCTAGCTCTCTCTCTTTCTATGTGTTTCTGTGTGTGTGTGTGTGTGTGTGTGTGGAGGGTGAATGGACACTTCAAGAAAGCTGAAAATTTTGTGCTAACCATTTTTATTTCTGGGTTAGGATTGGGGTAAACAAAATTTTATTTTTTTTTCTGAAAAGATAAATAATAATAATACTAATAAAAGTACTTGGTGATCAAATGGAAACACTGTGATTGGTAACATATTTGCAGAATCCAGATAAGTTAGAAGTTCTTGAGGAGATCAATGAAAAAGTTTGAAGGTCATAATGGTGGTAAAGATCGATCCTATATATTGTATAAATGTGTTTTTCTGGGGTAATTAGAAAAGGTTCATAATATTTATGAGGTAAAAAAACTTGTATAAATAAATATAATGACCAGCCAGATACACAACCATGCAATACCAAGTTTTGTTATTCCCATGAAAGTGAGACGTGCATCCATTTTTAATTATCAAGAAGATGATCAAACGCAAAATTTAATTTTACTCCTCCAATTATAAATATCAAGGAGAAGGAAAAATTAATTAATTTTACTCGTCTAATAACATATTACCAACCCACTCTTTCAAAAGGTCAAACTATTAATCATTTACATTACACCATCTTACATTTATTAATATTTTTGAGACTGTTGCATCAAGTTCAAATATTTTGAATGCGTGAATCATATATATTAAATCTCTCCTCCTCCTCTTGGTTTCCAAATCAAACTACACATAGTGAAATGCTCTTATAAATCTAACACAGGGACTCCACACTAGTATATAGCTGACATCAATCAATCCATAGCTGACATCATTCAATCCATTTGGTTGTTCATCTTTAACATCTTCATGATTTTGACCCATATAAATTTCAAAAAAAAATGATTTTGACCCATATAGATGAATTTCAGACATTAATATTCAGGTTTTACATATTTTCTTCATTTTTTTTTTTTTTTTTTTTTCTGAATTGGTATTCACACACACATAGGGGTGGTAATTTGTGTTCGCGAATCATAATCGTGTCATGTTAAGAGTATTCTACTAAATAACTCAACCCAAACACGACCCGTTTATTCGTGTCAGGAATCCTCAATCGAACTGTTTATTAAACGAGTTACACGTGTAACCCGTTTAATGACCAATTTAGTAAAACAAAAAATTATATTATTTAAATTATTAATAATATTCGATCAAACAATAAATACTAAAAAAATATAAGTTTCAATCTACCCAAATTATTAAATACTCTCTGGTCTACAAAAGATTAAATTATAATACATGAGTTTAGATAATTATTTTGGAACCTAAATGTAAATTTATTTATGACATGTATAGTATTTAAACGGGTATAAACGGGTTGAACAACCTCAATCTAAATAAGACACGATTAATTAAACAAGTTAATCGTGCCAACCTGTTTAAGACCCGAACCCGTTTAAGGTCAATCTAAACCCTTTTAATTGGTGTCGTATTCTAGTCTTATTGACGGACCGTGTCAAACTTTGCCACCCTACGCACACATGCCTCTACCGAATTTGAACCTCTGATCTCCCTTTAAAAAGTAAGAATCTAGTACTGTTAAACCACTGATCTGTTAATATATATTCTTCAATTTAATAAACTAATTTTAGACTATGACACTAAACATAAAAATAAAATAAAAATAAAAATAAAAATGACCTTCTCTTTTTCTTAATTACATGTACTGCAAGTTAAATGATGCACCACTATTTTAGAAAAGCCAAGTTGAAATGAAAATTGATTAATCCATTCACAAGATCAACTGAATTTCGCATAGTTGCTTATACCGGCTCTCGTACCCTTAATTTCGTCGTTGGTTCGCGTAACTTTGAAGACTACAAAATCCAGTTGATATTACTATCTTGATCATTACCTAGAATGCAAAGAGGAATTATTTTGTTTTATTTTATTTTATAAATCCTCTCAACTCAATATAGTTCCCAATATAGACGAGCCATTAAAAGGTCATTACCTAGAGCTAGTCCCATATAAGGGTATGTAATATAAAATGGATGAGCTTTTACATGCCATATAAGGTACAAATCATGTATTGGAACTTGTTTATTGTGTCCCCAAGGGACTCACCACACTAGCTATAATGAGAACAGACCACAGTTTTACAATGATATGAGGTCCCAAAATAAATAAAGTTTGTTCTCTAACCTTTTCACACATGATGATCAAGAGTGCTAGGGAATTAATAAGTTTATGACACCTTTTATCTTTGGGCATCCTTCTATCACATGTGTATATGATAGACATTAATTTATTGTGTCCATAAATCAACACTACTACTTGAACTTTGTTACAAAAAAAATATAATAATAATAAATAAATAAATAAAATAATTTTAAAAATTAAAAAATGTACGTATTCGTTAGTATAGAGGTGGTTTTGTACATGGCTATATACGTACGTAGACAGAGATATATAGAGAGAGTGAAGTGTTGAGAGAGACAAGAACATTGTCTGTTCATTGATTTATATCATCCACCAAATTGATGTGAAGAGGAGTCACTTTTGCTTGGATGGATCGCAAGTTAACTTTGAAAGTAATACACAAATCATTTTTAAAAAGGACCCTTAGGAGGGAAATGAAAAGTGTGAATGATTGTACTTAACTTTAAGTGGGAGCAACAGAGAGGTACAATATTGGGCCTACCAATTAAGACCACTATTAATTATTAATTAATTAATTAGTGAGCTAGGAAAACATCGATATAATGTGAATTTTCCTTTTAAAGCATGGTTGGTTAGGTTACTTTGTCAAGGATGAATGTTTCCACTATTACACATTACCTTAATCTGTTCCTCATGATTCTCCTCATGCATGCTTTCTAATTTTCACTTTTTTTCTGTTGCATATCTACCTAGCTTAATTTGCCCTCTTATCTTCTCATCATAAGCTAGTACTAACCTTTTTCCTTTTTTAATTAGAATCTTAAAGACTCTAATATTCTTCAAATAAGTCTGGTCTTTAATCAACTATTGACTCGGGTCTTGATCTTCTTCATACTACTACAAGACTCTAATATTCTTCAAAACAGTTTGGTCTTTAATCAACTATTGACTCAGGTCTTGCTCTTCTTCATATTACTATAACGCAGTTTAGATCGATATGTGTTGAGTTGTGTCTGTGCATCAAAACAATACCATTTTGATATATAGTTCTGACAGAATGTTCTCCGGCATAGGAGGAGATCCTCTTCCTTGCTACCTAGTATATCTTGTTTATTCCAAATTTAGTAATCATTTCACCATTACTATTTTTATTTTATTTTTTTTGATCAAGAATTAATTCCTTCTCTTATGCTAACATATGGCAACATATATGTAACAAGTACTAGTACACACGCTACAAGGGAAGTGTGGAACAAGAAAAACCTATGGAGTCTGTAGAGTTCAGAACTAGTGTTTATCCACTACATAAAGAATGATTTCCATGCAAAAATTTTGCAACGAAATGAGAATTGTCGCCAATTCATTGGATGGAAATGCTTTATTGTATTTCCGGCTAATTAAATCAGTACTTCAGCTAGAAAATATTGGAAATGACATTTTTTGAATTATGCATCAATTGAAGCACAAGGCCATGAAAAAATGCTCACAAAGGTGAATAGGTGATAGTAATTACAAGGACCTAAATATTCATATTAGAATTTTGAAATCAAATGAACAAGATCAAAAGGGCTTTTTAATTGAGCATATATAAACTTTGAATTCCTTCATTAATATTACCTTAATTTACTGATATTAGGTTGGAATTTTTAAAACTTTTAAATTTATGGTATCTTGATCCAATTCATTAAATTTTCTTAGTTACCACAATTATTTTTTTTTTTTTGGCGACAAGTTACATGAGTTTGCAGGCCTCCGGCCCAAGAAGGAAAAAAAAAAACAACATTTTTGTTATTTTTGTTCTTCTTAAATGCATGTGTTTTTGGTTTCTGATAAGCAAAGAAAGCAAAACATAATATTTTTCCTGCATTACGCTATATTTGCAGTAAGTCAATGCTACAAATTATGAACCCACAAATATGAATTAAATAATATTTGGTCGAGTGGTATGCAAGTAGTAGTATTGTACGTGTAATGACGTTGTTTGTTTTAGAAGATAGAATATATTCCAGTTTGCTTTCTTCTGCTACTTTTACAACATCAAGTCAGGTCAGGTCCTTCTATACATGATCTTGATGGTTAAGAATAGAGACCACAATGATATCAACTTGATGGATGTGAATGAATAACAAGGTTTTCAAAACCTAGCTAGGCTGAAACTGGATTGAAAATTTGGATTCGATATGTGTGAGTGTGTGAGATATGTGTATTACTAGCTAGCTACTACATTATCAACTGGATATGTCTGTACTTATTTCATATAAAGAAAGAAACCAAAAAACGAATGTAGAAAGGCTAACAAACTAGTTTGTCTTTATAATATATGGAACCAACGTTTCTCTAATGTGGAAGATTGCAGATGATGATGAGAGGGTTAGGTAGGTTTGGGATTGATAAGTTGTTTTGTTGACTAAGCACTCCTTTAAATCAAGTCATCACTTTTAGGAGTGCCTTTGACAGATGGATTAATGGAAAAAGAAAGATAATATTATTTTTATATTAATATGTCCGACCATTTTCATGCTTGGATTCTTAGAGACGGCAAAGATAAGTGATGGATCACCATGCATTAATAAAATAAAAGAATTTTTTAGACTTGTAAAGACTTTGTGTGGAG